GCCTCTGGCCGTTTGGGCCTAACGTGCCCTACCTCAGGCCTATCTGGGCCTGGTCTGAACCGTCGTCCCCCTAGGCCTACCCTGCCTACTGGGAACCGGGCCCTAACTGGGGCCCGTGTGGCTCAGTATGCCACAAAATTGCAAGGAAAAATCAGCGATAGCGAAATGACAGAAATCCAGAATGCAAAATCACATTGAAAGCCAGCAAGTCCAATGCTGTCCAGAAAGCAGAAACACACTGATATTCAACCAACGGAGAACCAAAGCACTGAATCTGAATGTCAATGAGAGCATACTCTCTCTCCTTTTCCCTGCTTGTATGAGTGTGCTATAAAACAACAAACCCTTTTCCACCCAGACGACTGGATCCAAAAAATAGAAACAGCTGTACCTTAATATCTTCCATAGTATCCTGATTATATTCTTCCTCTACCCATTCTTATTCTTCGTCATTCTAATCGCAGTTTACTATCCATACTCCATGCTTGATCCAAGACAGGCATAGCCTGTCTTTGGAGGTCAGAGTCAAAGGCTGGTTGCCATCATCCCTCACCCATTGGTTTCCAAAGAGTGGTTGTCTGAGTACGTCGTCTTTAGACCAGGGCTTGCTGAATTTTTCGGGCATGATTTCCCTCCATATTCTGATCAGTGCTGTCGAGTAGGGTGGGGGTGTCAATTCCTCCTCTGAAGCCGATTCTTTTTCCCCTCCCTTGCATCCTGTTTCTCAATTCCACTCTTTGCTCAGTAACCGAAATAGGAAAGACATGCCGCTGGGCTTTCTATGGGGGTAAGGGATAAGATGCTGTCCAACGCCATCTGATTCCATGCCAGTGTCTAGTTGATCTTGACTACGCATTTCGCTTGGACTGCGTTGGTTTCTTGTCATTGGTCCGTTATTCCCAGTCCTCCCGAAGCCTGTTTCCTTGTACATATAGTGTCATGCGACCTTTGGCATATATTTCTCTTCATTATGGTCTCCTCGACTCTCCTGACCATAGATATGCTCTGGCATTCTGTTTAGTGGCTTCATGGTGTCGTCACACGACTCGTCTGGTATTGTGACTATTGTCCAAATAGAGGCAGTATCATGGAGAAGATGGAGGTGTTGATAGTCAGGGCTCTGTCTAACAGCGAAGTAAAGTCCTGGTCCATTTCCCCATTCTGTTGATTTGGTTGGATGACAGGTCTTGTGCCATTTGTGGTGCTGGGGCATTTTTTGTCACTTGAAATCCCCAGGTATCGGTCTCATCAGAGTTTCCCGCCTACCATGTCATTTGACTTTCAAGGCTCTGCCTAGCGGCGAAGTAAAGTCCTGGTCCATTTCCCCATTCTGTTGATTTGGTTGGATAGCTTTTGTGCGGTTTGCAGGGCTGGGCCATTTGTTGTTATTTGAAATCCCCAGGTATCAATCTCATCGGGGTTTCCGGCCTCTCATGTCATTTGACTTTCTGGCCTCATGTAGCTGGGGTATTCCTTCATCAGACATCCACCACCCCACTGTCTTGTGCCAGTTTTGTTTCATTTCAGAGGCAAGTCAGGATGCTTCCATCGCCCCGACCAGTGCGCTTACTGATGAATTTGAGGGACTTGCATGCCTCATTCAATTAAATGTCTAATTCAGGGTTTCCAGCCTCCCATAGCGTTTTTGAATTATTTAACTAACTTTTTGCCATCTCATTTCGAGTCGTTTGATGTAAAATGCTATTGGGTTCAAACTTCAAACTTCAAAAACGTTTGATCTTGAATTTGTGATAACAAGGCGCCGATTCTACACCGAGCTTTGCCGTTCACTAACGATTTTGTGTTTTTCCAAATCTGTACTTTGCGCAATGCTTTATGAGGCCGGGTTAATACTATAGAATGGTCCAAGAGGCCAGTCAGCATTTGGGTTGCCTATAAAATGAAGTTGAGGAGCAGGTGTTGCCAATGATAAGTGGCCATCCCTGCAGACTGAACAGGACCAGTTCGGGTGCGGACTGTGGAAACACCCATCCAGTTCTCACAGGTGCAGTTGCTGCACCAAATGGAGCGCGTAGACAGACATCACAGGCAGCATGGCTGCCACATGCCAGGAACACTCTGCTTGTGTGTGTGTGTGTGTGTGTGTGTGTGTGTGAGAGAGAGAGAGAGAGAGAGAGAGAGAG